AGCCTCAAAAGAGATGTCCCAAATTTATCCCGCCACCGACGCATGTTCCTTATCCATGCCTGTGCTCTATTTTACCTCACTCCGCAGGGAACCTCTTTGTCGGCCTCGCTATTTCAGACGTGGACATGAGACAGGATCTGGTGGCGCTCCAGATTGGCTACGGAGGCAGAGCCAAACGGATCTCGGAGTGTCTGGACAAAAAGTGTTACTGCGCTTCCCGTCTGAAAAAACCAACGTCTGCTCAGTGAGCGCAGATTGTGTCACTGGAGAGTTTTTGTGGAAGTAAAAGGTTGTTGTTTGAATTATCACCCAGACGGACTGTTTTACAGAAGCTCGCAAAAGCCTTTTGAACCACAAATTTAGCCAATTAACCTCAAGTCTTTTCTGAAAGATGCAACAGAGTGCATCTGTTTTCACAACTTCATAAAGTTTAACTCATTTTTGATGATAAGAGTTCATTGTCCCCAAACTGGTGGATCGTCTAAGCCCCGTACAAAAACTCCACAAACTTCCCTCCAGCATGAATCACATCGGCAGAAAACATTTCCCATTCTTCAAGTATGTATTTTTAAACAAGCTGTAATTACGGATATCATAATTACAAAGCGTGTGCACCGTGTGTGTGTGCGCGTGTGTGCATGGTGGAGGATATTTTGTAACACAGATGTCGGAAATGTAGCGCCGGCGTTTGCTTTTTTGGCTTCGCCGGGTGCTGTGGCTTCTTTGTTTGGCTAGTTAAACTGCAGACATGTTTCTCACAGCACTCGAACATGTTTGTTCCATTTTGGTCCAGTAATTTAATTATGGGACCGGGAGAGATAGGCAAGCTGTGACTGGCTATCTGATGAGGCAGGGACGGGGGGGGGAAGGGGTCCAACAATGCATTTCAGTCAGGAGGGGAAAATTTGAACTAAAGATAGCAGATAGTGAGTTAGAAGAGTTGTTATTGGAAGTGTCCCGTCAGTAATCTAAATGCCACTGGCTTGATTTCCCTATGCAACATTCATGGTCCCTCAAGCTCAGCTGCAATGATATTGCATGTAGTATGATTTTTACACTGGGTTTTATGTAGGGTTGAAACTACTATTGATGTTTTCACACTGAGGTATTTTGAAATCGATGACCGAGTTGTTAATTGCACTTATGTTTCCACTGTGGCCGTGATTTATTTGATTGGCTGTGGTGCTGTCTTTCTGTGTGTTGGTCTGCCAGCCCCAGGAACTGATTGACCCATCAGTGGCCCACTCCCTCTAATGATAGGCTGAGAAGAGACCTTCCCCACTGTTAAAAGCAGGAAGATGACGTCGCTGCAGCACATGTTCCTCATCTTTGTTAAGCTGCTGTTCTTCGTTTGTTTTGTGTTAGTTGTTGTATTGATGAATCACCGGTTGATTTACAGGAAGCATGTTTTCTCATGTTTTTGGTTAGATATGGAGGTTGGTTGCTCAGCTACAGGAGTGACATGGATTTTCCGCACACGGATTTGGACTCAAACTAAAAGTTAAGCGTATCAGCGGAGGTGGGAAGTCGGTTGTATTTTGTTTTTCGTTCATTTACCAGGTCAGTTTGTTTCAAGAGCAGTCAGACTCGGTTTTCATGTTTGAGCACCGATTCATCCTGAAGTTTATTCTTTCTTATTCTTATTTTCACTAATATGTTGCTGTACTTTATTTCTTTAGTGTAAAATAAATTACTTTCTGGTGAAAACGTTAAAAAGTTGCCGTGGCTGCTTGGGGAAGTGAGGGATTTGGGCCTTTATTCACGTTGTGCCGTGACCTCCCCTAGACCAGCAGAACAACTTCAGAGGAAATTTACCAAACACTTGCTGGTTTCAGCGTTTTAAAAATGAGGAATTGTTGTTTTTCCTCTAAATTTAAATGTTTTTTAAAACTTTTTTCTCAATTTTCTTGCATAAATGTGTTCGTTGATAGTCTTTTGTTTCTTAGTTTGTAGCTCTATATTTTCTCACCTATGCTGCATATTTAACCTCTTTGCAGACCAACCTTTTACTTTCTGTTGATAGGAGATACAAAAATGTAGCTTTGGAGCTTTCGTGTAACTTAAATAAGCTGTTTCTAAAAGGCGTTTATTGAAAGACCGGTTAATTATTTGCTTTATCGATTCACCTTGTTAAACAAAATATCCCCCCAAAAAGTGACACCTTCAAATGACTTTATTGAAGTCTGTCCAAACCCACAGATCTCAGGTGATAGATAGAAAAATCTCACATTTCCTAAGGTGGAACCAGGGAACTTTAATGCATTGGCTTTAAGCTGGCTTTAATGATTTCTTCATTGTTCAACACAAATATCCTATTGATCGACTTATTGACTTAATGATTGGTTCTTTCAGCTGGACTCTACATATGCATTAGATTCCTGAGGATGAAATTCCCAGCTGACCTGCTCCTCTCTGCAGGGACATGGGGGAGGTCAAAGGCCAGATCTGGAGCTGATATGACTTCAGTGTCTTGCTCGGGGACACTTCACATGCTTGCCGTCCCATGAGGCTTCAGATTTTAAAGCCAGACTGTCATCAGCAGAGATTCAAGTCCAAACTTTAAGACTTTCAGATTCATAGTTAAACATTATGTTCTGTGCCTGTTTCCAATCGGGGGAATTACAATATTTTGGAGCTGAAGCTGAACCCCGGTGGCATCAAAACGCTGAAATAAAAACTCTTAAATATCATCTCAGGAAAATTTTTAAGTGGGTCTTGCGGTCTCGCCAAAGGCTTACGGCCCGGCTCAATGGGCATATTTCGAACATTTGACTCGTTCCCAAGAACAACACAGCCTCCTGCCAAGTCAGAGAGAGAGACATGAGCTGCACACCCCGTCATCATCCAACACAAACTCACACAACAAATACTGAAAACCGATCGAGCAAAACGGGAGAGGGGCCCTATAAGAAAAACAGCCAAATGATCTGTTACGGTGGCTGCAGGGTGGCCTGCTGGCTGCCGGACGGTCACAGGTTTCAATCCTTTTGGCTGCGGAGAAGCGTGTCAATCTTAATGTGGAAATGTGTGCTCTCCTGACTGAAGGCGGACCAAGACGAGGAATGTGAAGCCAACATAAACAAAGTCAGAACACATAGAAAAATCAGCCTGAGAAAATGATAAAGAACTGGATTTTTTCATCTTCTTTTCCACGTTTTTAGATTTGAATTGACTCAACCCTTTGTACCTGTTAACCCTCCTTTTGTTCTTTGTCAGAAGGCCTCTCACTGGATACAAACATATACTGAAATATTTAGCACATAAACTCTAATTAAATCCTAATATCGTACTTTACAACCACCTTATTACAGCTCATTAACCTGTGGGGAAAGTGATTTAACGCACACAATAAGACTCTGTTGGTGGTTTTCTCCACAGTCCCAACCACCTTCATGAAACTTTATCACCAGGATTTACAACATTTCATTACCAAAGCAGCATTATTACATACTTCTACTGCTCCCTGGGTTATCACAAAACGATAAGGTCACTGCAGAATGAGGTTCTGCTGAAGGAAGCTCTCCTGATCGCCGGCTAAAACCACTGACTGAGAAAAAAAAAAAATGGTGTGTAATCCATCGAAAGACACAAAATATCCACTATGTGTCCAGAAAGCTAATGGTTTATTAGTCCCTTGGTGGTTGCAACATGATCCGATAGTATTGGAGGAGCCCATCTGTGAGACGGCCAGCGGTGATTTACACAGGAGCCGTTTATGGAGCTTTTAAAAGAGACAGAGGAGCCGACATAAAAACAGGCTTATTTATGGAAGAGGAGGGAGAGAGGCAACACATGGGCTGTTGTGTGGATGCACACAATCCAGTGTGTGTCTCTGTGTTAAAGAGAGGGGGGGATGTGTGTATGTGTGTGTGTGTGTGTGTGTGTGTGTGTGTGTGTCTACGGGCATGAATGTTTGTTTACATGTCGTGTAGGGTGATGCCATGAAAAAACACACAATCAGACATGTGAAGGAATGATGCATGTTTGAGTGTCTGTGAGGAAAATCATTTAGTTTGAGAAAGTATTTAAACCAAAAAAACAAACCCCTTTGTTTGGTCAGTGCAGAGAAATAAGCCACAGATGGTGACAGGAAGTAAGGCTACACTAAAGTTTCTGTGTCCGAGTCAACTCATTTGACCTTTTCTGGAATCAAACAAACAATACATTTGTCGATGAAACCAGACAGAAAAGTGCATTAATTGTTTGCAGGACCCATGATGATATCACCAAATAGATGTTTTTGTTATAACCAAACAAAGAAAGGAAGTTTACTTCTCTTAAAAGATTTTTAAAAAAAGGTTTCAAATCTCCATATTTACAAACTGAAACCACTGAATTTTTGGCATTTTTACCCTCCATTATGACTAAACTGTGGCCTTGTTTGTGGCGATCAACTTGATGAATGATGCAAACTGCATGCTCTGACTGACAAAAACACACCAAACATGAAAAAAACAGCTTGAGACAAAACCATCATCTCATGTTTGTGTCTTTTTAACCATCTTCAAACTTACAAAAGCAAAGCAGCCTCGCTTTCAACACTGTTGATGTTTTAAGTCGATCTTTTTCTGCAAGCAAACTTTTCAGACAAACAGGTTTACTGCCTCCGAATGAAAAGCAAACACAATTTCTGTGTTTATGCAACAGGCAAACTGAACTCCATCAATAAAAAAAGCCAGTTCACACTGAGTTTCACTGCCAAAAGAAAAAAAAAACACATCAGAGGCTCTTACCATGGGAGACCCTCCCTCTTTATCAATGAATTACAAGAACCCATGTAACACCCATTTCCTCTGAACTAACAGCCAGAAGCTTCAGTGCCACAGTATATCTCATCCCTGCACCTTGACCAATAGGGGGCAGAGTTTCCCACTGTATCCAGGCAGGATTGAGGAGGAGAAAGGAGCAAATGAAGGGGGTGGGAGAATGAGAGAGAGAGAAAGAAAGAGAGAGAGAGAGAGAGAGAGAGAGAGAGAGTGAAGTGAGGAGTGAACTCTTACTTGCAGTCTCGGTCCTCCAGATCAAAATGCGGGTTGAAGTTGATGAGGATCTTCTGACCGGGCTCCGGGGCTGTGATCACCCACACGCACTGCTGGGAGGGCGGGTACGCGCCGGGATAGCCCGGGGAGGTCAGGTAGTCCGCGGTGTGGATCTCTATGTTCCCCCCGCATTTGTCTGCGCCGCAAGAGAAGACAGAAAGTTGTTCAGCTGGAGGATAAGACACGGACTTTCCCGGGTCTTGTAGCTTGCGCACAGATTTGGACTCAAACTAAAAGATGTATGTGTGTCAGCAGGGGTGGGAGTGTGCACACAAAGACCTCATACTGGGAATCATAAAAATCACAAATTAAAGGAAAATGTCTTAACACTCAGAAAGCTCCCAATTACGCGCAAATCCTCCACCCACTAGTATTTACTCTAAATTCATGTCACAAGAAATTCCATCAGGCTAGAAAAAAAGGCATTAAATCTCCCACACACACTCTTTTTTTTTTTTTGACAAGGTGTGTTTAAAGTGTTCCCCTGCATCCCTGACAGAAGGTGTGATTACGCCCGTGTGGATGAGGTGGGCTGGCTGCAGCTGCTGCCGCTCCTGCGAACAGGCAGCATGATTGAATTACATTTTCTCAATGAATGATTTATTAATTTGCTTGTAAAGCCTACATCATGCTTCAGTGAGAACGCGCGTAAAAAGCTACAGAATGCGTACTTGAATATCCAAAGCGCAAAGAAAACGTGGACGATAACGCGTAAAAATGTGGACTAAAATCAGTTAAACCTTCTTCTTCTACGTCTGCGACAACATTATTGTGATTTTGAGGTGATTGTTTGACACTTTGTGGATCTGTTTCTGTATTGCTTCATGTTACAACAACAGGTTTTCGCACAATATCTATGAATATTTTCATATTTTATTGTGATTTACAGTAAAAACAGGGGCTTAACTTGAACCTTTGCAGACGTGCTCTCACCGTGTAAGCAGAGGCATAACAGGTGAGAGGAAACAAGGCTGCAAAATGATGCAGAAACGGATCAATATTCAAGCAAACTGCCTGTTGTCGAGCCACATGCATTCATTCATACAAGCAGTCAACACCTACCAGTCTGAGTCAACGAAGCAACCGAGATGACTTGGGCGAAAAGGAACAATAGCAATCCACAACGCATCCTTAGATTGTACAACACAGACATTCTGTATTTTAAAGAAGATTTAAAAAAAACAGTCCAGGGGGATGTTACGTCCAAAAAGGGAGAAGGAGAAATAATGTGTGTCTCAAACTAGGAGATCTGGTTGTCGTAGGGTCCCCAGCATCCTGCGAGGCTCAGCAGCAGATCCCCGCGTCAGTCAGGCAACAACTTGCCATCTCCTGCAAAACCAAAAAATTAATAATCCAAACGTAGGAAACAAGAATCAAAAAAGGGGAAAAAATCCGTCAGGAGTGGCAGCTGTGTGCCTCTGATTCTTTGTCAAACCTCACAAAAAGGAGCGAACACGTACTTCCAAATGGATCATTTCAAAAAAGACAAACCCAGAATTCAGTAAAAAAAAGAAAGAAAAAGAAAGCAGCACCGAGGATCATCGGAGCGCTGCTCTCAGCTCTCCTGATCTTTACTCCTTATTTCAGTCCAGCTCTGTCTTTTTCTTCCGCCTGTGTCTGTCCGCGGCGTCTGACTGACCGTCACAGCAGAAATGTCAGAAATACAAGGCGAGCCGTGAAAGTAACAGCGGAATTTCCACTCCCCAAAAAATTCCTTGCTGCTGCTGTTAGAAGGCAGTGTGCGCGCAACCGGCAGCCACCGACCCACCGACCGCTACAAGGAGCTCCAGAGCAAACTGACACCGGTGCGCCCTCTGTGCGCTCCCGACGCATGCGAGCAGGGAAACTGCGCACGCAAACTCCCGCTGGCATGTGAGAGAGTGAGTGAGTGAGTGAGTGAGTGAGTGTGGTAAGAGGTGTGGGCAGTGTCCACCAGGCAGAGGCGCGTTCACATCTGATCTTTGTTAAGCAGAGGAGCAAAGGATTCAGAAAATGATGTATTATTATCTTCCTTTTTAGGTGACCTACATCTGATTGCGTGCTCCACTGACCGAATGTGTTCATGTTTGTGATTTAACACTCGGCTTTTGGTTGTTTCTGTGCTACAAACGAAAGGGGACTGGGCACAGTATTCACAATAGGAGAATAAAAGCTGGATCCTGTTTTATGTTTGCACATGTAATCGCACTTTCTTTCTCTGTTTTTACAAATAAAACCTTGACTGAATTGATCTGATAATATCTGAAGTGTCCTGGAAGCTGACATACACTTTGTAGCTGTGCAAAATGTCCTGCTATGTTTTTTGTTTTTGTGTTTAAAGTCAAATGATCAGTAATCATTTTTGGCATTTTGATGACGTATGATAGGACAGCACTGTTTTATTATTAGATTAATGTCATGAGGACATCTATATTTATTATCAAAAGCTGAGCAGAGAGACAAAAGCAGATTACAGAGAAAGACAGATGACATGACAGACAACAGGAACACCTTTTATATTTACTATACTGTAGATTATGTGTTGTGGATTATTTGTCTTCATCAATATCATGTCTAATGTGTTGTTTGTTGTGAAAATATCTAACAATTAGCACAATGAATGACAGTGATTTGTCATCTAGTGTTATTTTTTCCCCCTCAAAGCATTGTCCAAATATTGATCAAATTGTCCCTTGATGCTTTGGTAGAAGTGTTTTTATTGAACTGCCCTGCCAATAAAAAAAGACATGCATTGGATTTATACACAAATATAAAATTATGTATAAACTACAAAGCATTTCACAAAAACATCCATAGATGTAATGCATAGAATTCACATTTTTTAAGCTCTATTTTTGGGCTGTTTATGCTTTTTTCTTTTTATTTAGAGCTAGGACAGTGGATATAGTCAGAAATCAGGGAGAGAGAGAGAGTGAAAGAGTGTAGCCACAGATCGGATTCGAACCGAGGTCACCTGCCCTTCAGGACCACAGCCTATGTACAGTACATGGGGCGCTCTAACCCATACACCAGGGATGGGCAACTTGGGTCACGGCAAGGGGCCACATTCATTTCATTCTCACAGCCAGGGGGCCAAATTGTAGAACACAAAAATGATTACAGTCTCAAATTTAACTCAACATATACCAGCGGTCAAATATTATTATGGACATGTTTCTGGTTTTCATGATTTAATAGCAGATTTGTTCATGTTTTCTTCATGTTTCCAATTAATTGATATGCAAAACTTGACCTGGGGCCACGTTGAGGGTTGATGGGGGTCGCACGTGGCCCCCAGGCCGCCAGTTGCCCACGCCTGCTACAGACTCTCCAGCGTCCGAGAATAAACCTTTTTATGAAGTCATGTGCAACCAAAGTTTAATGTAAAGTGAATAACAGGATTATCAAAAACTGCCACATGTCTGTATGTTGGTACACTTCCCAGATTACCCTATCACCGCCCTGCGCACACACACACACACACACACACACACACACACACACACACACACACACACACACACACACACACACACACACACAGTTTCATATGTGAAGACAGCAGTATTGATTGTGATGAAAGGGCAACAGTTGCACAAACATGTTTGTTCACAGCATTGCATTGTGGTCAGCTGGGACTAAAGAAGACAGAGACATATTGGATCCTGTGTGACGGATTTCTCACTTTATTATTGCTAGCTTTGGTGGCTGACGACTCTGACTAGAACATTTTAAGTTTGTAGTTTGTTGTAATTAATATAACTAAATCTTAAGATAAATCATCTGAAGTTACAAAAGACTAATGCCCTATATGGACTTACAGTACATCCATACAACTCAATTTTCCTGTGATAACAAGTACATTTTTGTTTTCTGTGAATCTCAATTTATTTATCTCGTTATCTCGAGATAACAACACTGATTTTCCTATGATAGCAAGTTTATGTCTCCAGATATCAAGAAAATTACTGATTTCATCTGGTTAATCGCTGTAAAATCCGCCTTTATATACCCGGATAACAAGACAGAGATGTCGAGAAAAAGACTCATTATCGTGTGAAATCTGAGTACAATAAAATGTATGGATGTATGTCCGCTCAGGGCTTCTGTAACGAAACACCAGCAGCCAGATGATTGTTTGAAAATGCTGCTGGTTCACAACCTGCGAGGAGCAGAGAAAATCTGTTTCAGGACAGTAAAAATTATTGACCAGATGTCCTGAAACATAAAATTTATGTCTCCACGTTCAAGCTCAAGGCAGCGAGTTTAAACAGTCAGTAAAATAGTTCACATCCTGACATTCAGGCTTTCCCAACCTTAGGGTCGAATGGAATTCAAACTGGGACCCCTTAAATTTCGAATTATTGATCAATAAAAAATATATTGTAGCGCTCTGCCTGAAATAAGCTACAAGACGTTATCCAGTTAACTTTTAGTTTTCCATGTGAAAAACTAACAAACTTACAGTTTCTCTGTCTGTATCTCATCCATGCATTATGCGCACAGCATTCATTTCCAGCCTCTTTAAATACAAGCTCACCTGGCTGTACCTATCTCACACTGAGAAAAATAAAATCTCATCCTATAGCTTTTTTTCCTTGTCCACAGTAATTTACATGAAATAACCTTAAAGTGGTCTAAAATAAATTCTTACTTGCAACACAGTAGATAAAAACTATCACAAGATTGTTAAAATTGTAGTTTTATCAAAAATCTGTAGCCTGTGTGTTTGGACGCCTGGGGAGTTTGGTGAAGTGAAAGTGGGGTTACTAGCCAAAAAGCTAATTAATCATTCAGCTTTTTTACACTTTAAAGAGGACATATCATCCCCCTTGTCCACCTTTTCAAACAGTCCCCCTGTGGTCTAAATGAAACATCTGTGCTGTGCTTTGGTCAAAATATAACATGAACCAAGCACCAGAGGAGGTTTGTGACCCTGTATAAACCAGCTCTCTCAGAACGCTCCGTTTTGGTGTGTGTGTCTCTTTAAATGAGATGACCCCCCCCCCAGAGTTTTCCCCGTAGACATCACTCCTTTGCTAGCGAGAATAAACATGGCGGACCTGCGCAAAAGTTTTGTTCTAGGCTGGAGGTGGAGTCCATGGGTGGAGATACCAGGGGAGGGGAGGAGATTTTTTTTTACCAGAATCCTGCTGTGATCTCACAAGGAGAGCAAATTTAGCATTTTCCTTTGTGTTGTAAGACTTATGCAGACCACAAACAAAGGACTGGATGGGTTTATTTCACATTTTGTGGGTCAGTAGGCACTCAGGTTACCCAAATATATGTTCACAGACACTGTTGAATTTGAATATGTCCCCTTTAAAGTTTAAAGTGTTATTTCTTTAGCGTATCCTCAGAGTACTGGAGAGACTTTTGAACAGAAACATCCTTTAAAATAATTAAAAACTGAGAGTTAAAATTAATAAAATAAGGGCTCAAATCTAAAATGTTTGACCATTTTCTGTGTCTCTTCAAACTGTCGCGGCACATGCAGGTGTATTGGATATCGTTGGACCCATGACCTCAGCGTTTCTTTAATCCTGTGTCCCCTGGGTGCAACTTTATGTAATTAGAGAGTGTTTGCACGTTCAGCAAAACTTTCCTGCGCTAAATGAAGATTTTAAAAAAATGTGATCATTAAACACTTCTAAGAGCTGCTAGTGGCTAACCATACTTTAAAAAGTGCAGTGTGGGTCATTGTGGCTGCACACTTTAGTAACACTGTTGTTGTTTCTCTGTGGTTTAGGTTTCATGAGAGTCAGCATCAAATCCTCTCTAAATATGTTGTCTGCATTTTCTAATGTCTTCAGCAGTTGTTCAGATTAAAACAGCTGTTTCAGGAGAAGAGTTCAATAAGAGAAAAACAACAAATTAATACATTAAATTCAAATTTAGAACATATATAGGATTGTGTCAGTTAAGGTTAAGTTTTGTCTTTCAGGCTGATAAAGTTTGAGTCATTTTTAAACAAACTGATGTATTAATTTCTTCGTTAATTGAAAACAAACACATCTGGTCACTATTGGTCCTTTTTTAATAACTTATATAAAGGCATCAGAATTTTTCAGTCTGGTTTACGACCGGCTAAAACTCCTCACATGAGCTTTAAGGAATACAGTTTCTAGAAGAACATTTCAAAGAGGGTGCAAACGTTTAAGTAAGCCATGTGAATTATGAAGAATTTCAAAAGGAGAATCAATGAAAACCAAGCAGAAAAAACGGGTGTTGAAAAGGGAAGCCAAAGTGGAAGTGCAAAAAAAAAAAAAGAACAAACTGCAGTTCCTTAAGTGTCCACTAGAGGCTGGCTTCAAAACCTTGGAAGTCTCATTTACAACCACTCTAAAAAGCAAATGCTTACAACAGAAAAAAAAATGTTTCCAGCCTGGTTCAATAACTGTTTTAGTGTGAACAGATCATGTCTCTGTTGGTACACACAGTACGGGGAGATTATTTTTAATAACTCATCCATTTTGATTATATAAAGGATAAGAGACAGGCGGGTAAGGTGTGCTAGGAGGCTTAAGGCCAGCCTCAGCTCCACCTCTTTGCCTGCAGCTAGGTTGACCATATGTTAGTGTGAGACACAAAGGCGATTTTAGAGTATTGTCAGAGGTGAAATATATAGAAAAATATTTCTAGCAGTTCAGTGAAATTTGTGTTTTAGCAGGGGAATTAAACACACAAATAACCCCTGGTGACAGCTCCGTCATGGAGCGAGGAGACACTCCACTCACTTCTCTTGTGTTACAATCAGACTTCTCAGCCAGCGTTCTAACAGGATTATCATTCACGTTACACATCGCTGTGTTAAAGTTATATTTACAGCACACG